CACTGCTTTTGTGCTGCAGGGACACATTTACACACACCTCATCCGTTCGCTGCTCCACATTCTCCTGTTCTGTCGCTTGCTCCAACTCACTTTTACTGCAAAGCATACAAAGTTTCTCTAAATACAAATACATACCGGCAATTAAACTATTTGAGCAATGGTGGGTGCAGTTAAGAAGGCTGGCTATTTGCACAGTGTAAACGGAGAAATGAAATACTAGGTATTGGGTGTAGAAACAGTATAATGCACCTCTTGGGTGAATGCATCTCATTAAAAAAAGAAAAAGAAAATAGATCACTCATCTCATGACAAAACATCATTTTCATCCATTAATACAAAGAGGATGAATGATTTTGAGATGCACAAAGTTGTGTTTCAAAGACACATTTTGGACCTCTGTTCTACTGCAAATAAACATAATTGTAACTTTGTTTGTTCACTGAGTGCTCTCAAAACAAAATACTAAAGCTGTGATATTTGTTACAATGAGTTTGTTGTACAGTCCGACTCAAATAATGGCTTACATAAGTTTCAAGATTAAGGTTGTCGAGATACATTTTGGGGAAATTTCAAATAACTAGTTATTTAACAATTAGTTGTTGTTTGTGTTTTGTTTAACCAAATACAGTTCCATGGCCAGTATGTGTTTATGGTAAATGTTTATGACCCACCAACAACTGGCAGGTGTGACAAAAGTACATTATGAACACAGCAGTTTATGACTACAGATGAAAATACTACAAAACTAATGGCTGCAAAATCAAATGGAAACAATGATCACTGGTACACTAAAGATTTTAGGTACTACAATTATTATTTCAATCTAGGACATATATAATTTAATACTAAATCAAAAGCAAATGGTATACTACTGGATAAAGGGTGCATGCATAATTTGTGGTACTGCAGATATTTACACTACTATTGATTAAAACAAACAAGTTAACAAATCTTAATTAAACACTAAGTTTAAAGGAATTGTTCAGCCAAAAATGAACATTTCCTGATTATTTACTCACCCCCAGTACCATCCGAGATGTGTAGGCCTTTCTTTATTCATCGGAGGAGGAATTAAGGTTTAGGAGGAAAACATTCCAGGATCTAATGCAAGTCAATGGTGTTCACCATAAACCATTTCCAGAAAAAAACTGTCGAAATGTCCAAAACTCTTTTAGCAGTGAACTGACACAAATACTTCGACACATAAACAACCATTCATTCCGCCGGTACGTCACACGAGATGTTGTGAATTAAACCGAGCTGGACTAAAGCAAGCATTTGTAGTTAAACATACACACAACCAGTCAAAGGTTTTTGAACAGCAAGATTTTTTTTATGTTTTTTTAAAGAAGTCTCTTCAGCTCACCAAGCCTGCATCGATTTGATCCAAAATACAGCAAACGCAGTAATATTGTGAAATATTTTTACTATTTAAAATACTTGTTTCTATTTGAATATCTGTTAAAATGACAACCATTCATTCCGCCGGTACGTCACACGAGATGTTGTGAATTAAACCGAGCTGGACTAAAGCAAGCATTTGTAGTTAAACATACACACAACCAGTCAAAGGTTTTTGAACAGCAAGATTTTTTTTATGTTTTTTTAAAGAAGTCTCTTCAGCTCACCAAGCCTGCATCGATTTGATCCAAAATACAGCAAACGCAGTAATATTGTGAAATATTTGTACTATTTAAAATACTTGTTTCTATTTGAATATCTGTTAAAATTTAATTTATTGCTGTGATCAACGCTGTATTTTCAGCATCATTCCTCCAGTCTTCAGTGTCACATGATCTTCAGAAATCAGTCTAATATGCTGATCTGCTGCTCGAGAAACATTTCTGATTATTATGATGTTGAAAACAGCAGAGTAGAATTTTTTTCAGGTTTCTTTGATGAATATAAAGTATATAAAATATACTTTTGTAACATCATAAATGTCTTTATCATCACTTTTGATCACCTTAAAGCATCCTTGCTAAATAAAAGTATTAATTTCTAAAATTTTTCCCAAAAAAAATAAAGATAATTACACTGACTTCAAGCTTTTGAATGGTATAGTGTATAATGTTACAAAAGCTTTTTATTTCAGATAAATGCTGATCTTTGGATCTTTCTATTCATCAAAGAATCCTGGGAAAAAAAGTACTCCACTGTTTTAAATATTAATAATAATATTATACTGATTTCTGAAGATCATGTGACACTGAAGACTGGAGTAATGATGCTGAAAATACAGCTTTGAAATCGCATTTTAACATATATTGAAATAGAAAGCAGTTATTTTAAATAGTAAAAATATTTCACAATATTACCTGGGCTCAGATGAAAGCAGTCCTGCTTTAATTGAGAGTTAGTGCAGACAGGGAAAGCCAGGAATGAAAAAAGCAGCAACGCCAACAATACGAGTAGAAAGTGTGAGATCAACCCTCAGATTTAAACAGCGAAAACAGACAAAAATAAATAAAATAAAATAATTTTAATTTCATGCAAGCAGCAACAAACCCCTTAAAAGATCAGATCACTGGAAAAGAAAAACCTGGCATCACGTACTCACCCTCGTGTCTTTCTTTTATTTGCTGAAAAATGTTTAATCCACACAAAGACAGTTAGTTACCTTTATTGTATGGACAAAAACATTTTCAATGCATCATCTTTTGTGTTCTGCAGAAGAATGAAACTCTTACGGTAGTGAGTAAATAATGACAGAATTATAAGAAAAACCTTGTAACTAAAGCCTGGGATACACTAACTGTTATGACTGTGGGGATCTCAAACTAAACGCATTAAACTTATGCAGAAACAGGCATCTTGTTGCTAGAAGACGCATGATAAATGAGAACAATGGCCACGTACACACTGCAGCTAAATTCGGTTGTCAGTTCACTTTTTAGCGCTTAATCCTGTTCTGTACGCACACAGTTCAGTCCTTTACAGGAGTGACAACTGCATTCTGCAACCGAACCGAATGCCGAAAAACGCAGGTAGTGACAAACGCATTTACAGGATCTTATCAGAGTTGTGGTGCAAGAAATCAAAGGAATCAAGGCAAGTCTTGATTCAATAGTGTTGCCACATCTTGCTATAAAAAAAACAGCAAATAAGAACAAGCCCATGATAAATCTGTTATCCATTATTGAAGAAAGCAGTTATTTTAAATAGTAAAAATATTTCACAATATTACTGTGTTTGCTGTATTTTGGATCAAATAAATGCAGGCTTGGTGAACAGAAGAGACTTCTTTAAAAAACATTAAAAATCTTACTGTTCAAAAACTTTTGACGGGCAGTGTATAATTACCTAATTTCTTCTGAGAAAAAACTGATTGTTTCGCTAGAGAAGACCAGCTGGGTCGTGTGGATTACTTTGAAGCCATCTAAATATAGATTTTGGACCGTCGGAAACGCTCTACGGTGAGCACCATTCACCTGCATTAGATGCACAAAAATCCTAGAATGTTTTCCTCTAAAACATTCATTTCTCTTCCTCTGAAAAAAGAAAGACCTATATATCTTGGATGGCCTGGGAGTGAGAAAATAATCAGGAAAATGTTCATTTTTGGGGGAACTCTTCCTTTAAGTAAAAGAAACCATGACGTAAATCTACGATTTTTTTACAGTCAAGAACTGGACGAATGGATATTACCTAGAGAAAATGCTCTTGAGCGAGTCCCACATGCTACCAACTGTGCTACTTATTTTATGAGAGATACTGCTGAGCGGGACAGAAGAGAGGAAAGGTGAGAAAAAGAGGGGAAGGAAAATAGAATGTGATGAGAAATTCAGTAAAAACATTTACAAACGTATCTCTGAATGAAACGTCTGACACAATTAACTGATCTGTCTTTAACTGGAAGATACAGATCTCAGAACCCAACATTTAAAAAAAAAAAACAAAGTGGCATTTTAATCTGAAAATATTCCCGGAATAATATAAGATCACAGGCATTAATCCTATTGTGCTTTCTACAGCACAAAACACCACAAACCAACCCAAATGGTGACCAAACGGACCACACATTCAAAATGTTTGACATTTGTTGAAACCTACCATGGACCCAAGGTACCCAAGGTATATAAATGACGGCGTATGCTTCTGTAGAACTAGTAAATCAAAGCGGTTCCTGTTGAAACTCAAGTCCAGCCGTCGAGTTTTTACGTATAGCTGTAGCTTGTAATAATAAAAACCTCAATATATGTTTATTGTTATAATCAATGGTGGCTTCTATTTAAGAATTTCACATCATCCACATCAATGGTTCATGTGAACTTGATTTTGCTCAATTCTTAGAACTCTTTATTGAAGACTTGGACTTGGAAATTCCCATGAAGACGATGAAAGGGAAAACCAGAACTAAGATCACTGAAGAAGAAGAAAAAAAAAGGACGATCATTGATGTGCTCAACTGGGCTCAGATGAAAGCAGTCCTGCTTTAATTGAGAGTTAGTGCAGACAGGGAAAGCCAGGAATGAAAAAAGCAGCAACGCCAAGAATACGAGTAGAAAGTGTGAGATCAACCCTCAGATTTAAACAGCGAAAACAGACAAAAATAAATAAAATAAAATAATTTTAATTTCATGCAAGCAGCAACAAACCCCTTAAAAGATCAGATCACTGGAAAAGAAAAACCTGGCATCACGTACTCACCCTCGTGTCTTTCTTTTATTTGCTGAAAAATGTTTAATCCACACAAAGACAGTTAGTTACCTTTATTGTATGGACAAAAACATTTTCAATGCATCATCTTTTGTGTTCTGCAGAAGAATGAAACTCTTACGGTAGTGAGTAAATAATGACAGAATTATAAGAAAAACCTTGTAACTAAAGCCTGGGATACACTAACTGTTATGACTGTGGGGATCTCAAACTAAACGCATTAAACTTATGCAGAAACAGGCATCTTGTTGCTAGAAGACGCATGATAAATGAGAACAATGGCCACGTACACACTGCAGCTAAATTCGGTTGTCAGTTCACTTTTTAGCGCTTAATCCTGTTCTGTACGCACACAGTTCAGTCCTTTACAGGAGTGACAACTGCATTCTGCAACCGAACCGAATGCCGAAAAACGCAGGTAGTGACAAACGCATTTACAGGATCTTAGCAGAGTTGTGGTGCGAGAAATCAAAGGAATCAAGGCAAGTCTTGATTCAATAGTGTTGCCACATCTTGCTATAAAAAAAACAGCAAATAAGAACAAGCCCATGATAAATCTGTTATCCATTATTGAAAATAAGCCACATACCTTAAAAACTCGACAGCTCTGTCAACAGGGGTATGCTTTAGAGCCCGACCGATATGGGTTTTTAGGGGCCGATACCGATATTAGGGAATAAAAAAAGGGCGATATCGATATATCGGCCGATATTCTGTGTGTATTTTATAGTACAGTACCAGTCAAAAGTTTGGACACTTTCCCATTCGTGTGTCCACACATTTGACTGGTACTATATATAGAATACAGTATATACATAAACAGAATATATATACATAAACACATTTTTTGCAATAATCACTCAAATGTGGTGATCAAACACTTATAATGACGTGACAGAGATACGTAATGGAGGCAGGGTGTTTAACAATAAGCTTTATTATCCAAATTGAGTCTGACATCAGTGCACTGAACAGTAAAGTTGAAGTTTATTCAACTTTAATTCAATTCAATTTCATTCAACTTTATTCCGTTAAAGTTTATTTCACTTCGAAATATTAATTCACGGATTTGCGCTACTGTCCTCACACACAGACAAAACTTACTAGAGAAGTGTGAAGTGTGACATAATATACCTCTGTAAATAAATGCAATATAAATTTACGTCTCGCACACTTTAATGCTCTTTGAATGTAACGTGTACGTTCCCTTGGAACTGGAATCATGGCGGAATATCATGTGAAGTCCACTTCGAGGGGCACTTACGGTCGAATAAGACAACGCTTGAATGCCGCTGCCTGAACAAGTCCTTACTGAAGTGAAAGTGTTGACTGGTGCCACTATCTCGAGAGGGTTCCTCGAGCTGAAGGGATCCCCCGAATTTGGTGCGGATTCGCCGTTACGGAGATATGGCCATTCAAAGTTTCAATGGTTTTCCATAGACTTAAGCTTTAAAGCGTTTCATCCAAGTCGCCAGTAGCAAACAATGGAGCGCGCTCTGCTGGACAAACTAAGTAATTACACCATTTCAAGCATTTTATCTGCGTTATATATTCTGTAAAAAAAATTTCATATCGGCGGCATATTCGCCCATACCGATATATCGGCCGATAATATCGGCAAAACGATATATCAGTCGGGCTCTAGTATACTTAAAATTGCCGAACATAAGTCTTTGGTTACTCTGGTCAAAAATAGCAGATACCAAATGCGGAAATGGCAGAACGTTTCTATGGTTACAACAGTGTCAATCATCACATTTCCAAGAGTGAGTTTTGTTTAATACACACTTGAAACGATAATTTAGGGCGGTCAATCTCTTATTTAAATGCTGTTGTCACTCCTGAAACTTCACAGTGTGTAAAAGGCCATTATGTGCTCTGAAATCAGCTCAAAATATCAAACATGTTTGATATCGTCAGACTGGATGGAAATCTGCCTTTAAATCTGACTTTCAGCAAGAGTCATAGCGTCGACTTATCCAGACTGCAAATTTGGGCAAAACGTCTTGGCATTTGAATTCCAGCGTTAAAAAGGGTTAGTTCACCCAAAAATGAAAATTACTTCATGATTTACTCACCCTCAAGACATCCTAGGTGTATATGACTTTCTTCTTTCAGACGAATACAATCGGAGTTATATTAAAAAATGTTCTGACTCTTCCAAGCTTTATAATGGCAGTGAATGGGGGCCGAGATTTTCAAGCCCAATAAAGTGCATCCATCCATCATAAAAAGTGCTTCACATGGCCCCGGGGGGTGAATAAAGGCCTTCTGAAGTGATTCGATGCGTTTGTGTAAGAAAAATATTCATATTTACAACTTTATAAAACCATTGAACTTCAAAATCTCGGCCCCCATTCACTGCCATTATAAAGCTTGGAAGAGCCAGGACATTTTTAAATATAACTCTGACTGTATTCGTCTGAAAGCAGTCAGTCAAATACGCCTAGGATGGTTTGAGGGTGAGTAAATCATGGGGTAATTTTCATTTTTGGGTGAACTGTCTCTTTAAGGGGTTTGTTGCAACCAGGCCCTGATGTAGGTATTCTATTAATGGATGATTAATTAAGCTCATTCTACCATTTAAAAAAAAACTGAACGTTTCAATTTGTCTTAAAAATCATAATGGTCATGAAAATAATGTCACAATTCAAGTGTAAATGATTTTTTGTGTACATGACAATTCCTTCTGATTTTGAGGTGAAATAAGACCAATAAATGTAATGGTCTTGCATTTAGCAGCAGACTACATAACCGAACATTACTGTGCATTGGTGTGAACGCTAACAGTCATCTTTATAGTTAGGGTTAGGGTTTTGTTATCATTCTTAGTGTGAACAGGCTTTATGAAAGTAAGATCTAATCAGTACAAAAGGTAGAAAGAGAGAGACAAATTATACAGGAAAGCAGTGCCAACTTTTTAGTATTAAGCATTATTTCTTTGAATATTATTTCAGTACTGATTTTTTTAATAGCTTATATGATGTGGGTAGCTTTCTGAATGTGATGCCCTTTCCGTCCGCTGGACTCACGTGTCCTTGCGTGCTCGTAGGTGCTCGAAGGCCAGCAGGCCGCGGGAGTTGAGTGACACGAGCACTTGAGGACCCTCAACGATGTCCAGCCGAAACGGCTGAGCACTTACGATGAGCCGCTGATCTTTGCCACCCAGAGACAACACCAGACTATTCTCATCCTGAGAAACCACAGAGAGCCTGAAGACAGACACAAGACGTTCAACTGTTAATGTTTGTTTTTTTATGATTTGTGACCCTGGAGCACAAAAGCAGTCATATTGGCAATCAAAAAATCCACCCTGGTCGAGCGCTAGGGTCTTAGGTTCATTTTCTTATATAAATATACACTTCTCTCAAATGGCAAAGGACCTGACTCTGTTTACAAATGTCTAGTCGTTTCATCTGCAGTTCTGATGGTGTGAGTAGCCTCGACTTACGTTTCAGTAATGGGATCAGAGATGAGCACATCCGGAACCTCGTAACGAGGCTTAAGTGGCTTGAGTTCATTAATCTTGACCCGCGTCATGTTGCCCTGCAGTCTGTACAGCTCAAGCAACAAGCGCACCTACAAACAACCAAACACAAGCGTTTCAGTTCTCTCACAAAGCGGAGCACAGCATTGACCAGATTGTTCCAGCTCTGGAAAATATATAGAAAATTGTTCAAAAAGGAATTCTATTGGAGGTGGGAGACAATTTTATTCTCAGATGCATCGGCGTTCTCCCTTCAATGATTCTCAATCAGTTCCTAAAGCACTGTGACTTCGAGGCACTCAGATACTGAAAGCACATGTAGTTTTTTCCTGTAGCCGTTTCTTCTTCCCCTTTATATGTACTATGTTTTAAAGCTATATGTAGTTAGTTAATTCTTAACATACACTTGTTTTAATTTATTAAATGTGTAATCATCTTAAAAAGTACTTATAAATGGGTCAAAGACGAAAAAGGGTTTAAACATAAAAACAATACTGCTTTAAATTGATGTTGTTTTCCCCAAAAATATATATATATATTAAAAAGTTTTCTGTTTAATGTAATTGTATTTTTGTTTTTCTGAGCAAAAATTAAATCATACATTTCCCCCTGATTTACAGAAGTCTGATTTACTAAAATGTCATTCAGTGTATCAATATTTACAACAAAAATCTATTTATGACACATTAAAAAAAACTAATTACTTTCACCCCAAATACTAATTAGTTGTTATTTTTAATTTTTTTCAATTTGCCACTATCCTAGGTTCTGCCCATTTGTCAGTAATCATTTTTTACTCATTTAAAACCCAATAAAATGTAATATGCTCTATCATTCTTTTATACATTTTAATACGTACAAGGCAGAATAAGCATGTTGTTTGAATTTTTTTCATATATATTGTGTTACACTGAATAACAATGTAACGTTATTTCAACCAAATTTGGACATTTTACTCTTCAAAAACGTATTTGAAACCTTAAATGTAGAAACTTTACTCGCATCTAACGTGCTTTCTATGGACATAAAATCACTTTTGTACATTTCTTTTGATGTGGACATCTTAACGTCTTTGACCCAAAATACATAAGCAATTTAATAAAAATGCACAAACAAATTTGGTCAACTAATTAAGAAGAATAAAACTGTAGATCAAGAATTGTTTTACATTTACATTTAGTCATTTAGCAGATGCTTTTATCCAAAGCGACTTACAAATAGAAGCAATCAAAACTAACAAAAGAGCAACAATATATAAGTGCAGATGACAAGTCTCGGTTAGTACGCAGCACACGTAGCGAGGTATATATACAGTATGAATGGATCTTGAGCCCCAGACTCGGAATTGGATCAGGGCTGCATTTCTCAAAAGCACTGTGAGCTAATTTGATCGTAGAGAGCACTGGTGGCAATGGTTTATGACGCTTTTGGGAAACGCAGCCCAGATTACTGTCAGTAAACTCGTCATCAGAAAAGAGAACAGATGCCGTTGCGAGGGATTAAATGTTTTTGATTAGAGATTACGAAGAGGCGTGCTTTAAAAAATGATGTGCACAGATAATGTGCACTGCCAAATTTGATTAAAAAAATAAGAATTGACCATTTTCATTGCATTGTGACTTTAACAAAGAGCATCTTAAAGCTTTAAGATGAATCACATTTGTTCCGAAGCAACTGTAGTGAAGTTGTCCGTTTTGTAACATCTTCCAATAAGGCCGATCGTTACATACAGTGTGTCACAGTTTTTGTATATTTTGTGACCTTGTTGTTGTCATTGATGAGCTGCAGGGTGATTCTGGAGTCGCTCAGCTCCAGTGTGTCCAGCAGAGCTCTGTACGGAGACCGCCCCGGCTTCAGCTCCCTCTGACGCCTACAAACACACAGAACGCATTCATATACAGTGGCTACAGAAAAGAATCACCCCCCTTTGAAATAATCACATGTTGTTGCCTTGCAGCCTTGAATGAAGGCGGACACGGTTTGTGTTTTATCCAGCTGTATTTACTCAGTGCTACTTATAACATCCAAGTCAAAGATATAGATATAACACCAACATGTCAGAATTTTAATTTTTTTAAAGGAGCGAGCAAATCATTTCTATACCCACTGTATGACAAAACATGTCACAGTTAGCTAGTTCATTCCTAATGTTAGAAATTGTCCAGATATTTAGTCACATTTTCGACTGAGGTGACTAACTTGAAAAAAAACTTGCACGTATACCTGCTGCATAAAAACTATTAAACTAGTAGATTACTAGAGCATACTGCAAAAATGCACTCAAGTAAGTATATAACTAGTAAACTAACAGTATGCCTACACGTGCACTTGTACTTGCAATAATAAATAAACACTTAAATGCTAACTAGGTGGTTTACTATTTTACATCTTATTTTTGAATTTTAAGGACGCACTGTAAAGAAAAAAAAATGGTATGTGTTCAATTAAAATTTGCCAATGACAGACAACATTTTACATTAAAAAAATATTCAATGTTTGAATTATGCATTAAGTTAAATTTAGTAACTCGCACTGAATCGACCCTTACGAAAATGAACCATGGCTTTACTACAAATACAACCTGCTTATTGCAGTTAAACCATGGTAACCACAAATTAACTATGGTTTTGATACACATGGTTACTACACTTTTCACTATAATAAAACCACGGTTAGGTACACTTCATAAACAGATGGCAAGTGTAATAAACTACTCTTCCTACAGGGGGCGCATGCTGGCTTGTTATCCTCTGCGGTCTTAATATTTAAAACATTTGTACACCAAAAATGTTCATCAGCGTATGTCTCAGACTCACTTGCAGAAGGCGCTCTGCTCGCATGTTTTGAAGTTGCTGCGGTCCACAGCCCGAGCGCTCACACACAGCAGCACAATCAGCAGCACCCACCTAAAGATAACAACACCACACACTTCACAAAGAGACACTAAACGTGTGCGGACACTGTTACTCAAGCTATTAAACACCCATCTGTCTGAGCGAAACAACACCTGCCACTGGAAGCCGCCATCTTGCCTCCGTGTGAACTTTGCCCTCCGCGGCCTGCGCGCGTGCGTCCCGTTCAAATGTGTCGTAGACGTGGACTTTTTTATTTTTAAGAAATAAATTAGCGTGTGTACATTCTTGGTCATCAAACGCAACAAAAAAAAATCATTCACAAAAATTAAACTGTATTTGGCATTGAAATCGCCATAATTGATAACATACAGCCCAGGAACTTTACCCTAGGTAAAACCGGAAGCTATAAATTAAATTTTCTACCTATTACATTGTGTTCCATTAACGTCTACGCCTATCCCAACCCTAAACCTACCCCTTACAATAATGCAAAAATAGTAATTATTATTGTACAGCGTGAGGGGAAAAAACGCTATATTAATCTGCGCATGCCCAGTAGCTCTTGCCGTTAGCGCTTTGTCACGTGATACCCGTTACTTTACTCAGCGCTGCTCCGGATGGACCAATTACAATTGTTTGTGGTTACTTAATGATCCATTTTTTAAACCACTTCAAAGTGATTGCTTCTCTTAGTAAATGTAAACAGTTATATATTTGTGTATTTAGCAGTATCTATCAGTTAGCACAAACGATATGGATTTAAAATAACTGCTTACTAGTGTGTAATAAAAAACAAACTGGACACGATGTAAACGCTTTGACTTGACGAACTGTTAAATAATTGTGATAAATAATTTTTTATTTAAATATCTGGATTTTTAACTCTTAATTACATTCACGGTTGTGCGCTGAGAAGCCACGCGCCCCCTCTGGACCACAGCGTTGCCCCGCCCCAATTACTTGAAGGCGTCAGATGATTGGATGCCTCTTTCAGCGTTGCCCCGCCCCAATTACTTGAAGGCGTCAGATGATTGGATGCCTCTTTCAGCGTTGCCCCGCCCCAATTACTTGAAGGCGTCAGATGATTGGATGCCTCTTTCAGCGTTGCCAAGTCCTCGCTTTTCCCGCGGAATTGGGCGTCTTTAACACTGTTGCCGCGAGTTGTTTTTCATGTCCACGGTTTGAAGAGACCACGATAACGTGATTTAGCCCCTGAAACCAGGCGAACCCCTCCCAAAAAAACGTGTATTTTACAAGTTTTGGGGTAGGTTTCAGTCGCGATTGTGCGGGTTTTGTCGTGAACACCTGGCAACCCTGCAGGACTCCGCGGGTATAAAGCACGCGAGCGGCCGTGGCTCTCTCTCTCTGCGGCGGCGCTCGGGGGACACGCGGGACGGTAAGAGGGTGTTTTTGTTGTACTCCTCGAGCGGGTGACTCGAGAGGCCCTTTTGAGCGCAGCCCTCCTTCTTGGCGTACTCGCGGTTGCTGTGTACCCCTGTATGTATGTAGGGAGGAATAACAGAGCCAGCGCAATGTCTTCGGTGCCAGCATGCTCCCATCGGCTGGTTCTATCCTCAAGCGCTGGAACACGTTAAATGCGAGCGCATGCGCTGTGCTACCACCAGGTCTTTGTTTTTTAACCTCAAGTTGTGTTTGTATTTCACAGGTCACGTGCTCGTCGTCGTTGCATCTGGAAAGCGGTCCAACAATGGCATTAACGTTTGATAACTTGTATCAGTTTTTTTGTTTTTTGGCATGTAAAAATGTTGAAACCACATGTTTATAAGTCTGTATTGGCACACCAACCCTATTTTTGCATTGTTTAAAGTGGCTGTAAACTGGACCAAGAAACCTGTTTCTGAGTGTTGAGTATCATTTCTAATAAACAATGCGTCTCTAATCTCTGGCCTGTTCTTTCCAACATCTGTGTTTAATTTGCAGTTGAAATCAACTTTAATTGGCAGTAAGTGCTGTATTCTGTGGGGTGGGAGTAGTGTGTGCGTTAGGTTGCACGCTCGAGTTGTTACCACAGTGGATTTCATCCTTTTGACCGGAACAGTCCCTTTATTATCCTTCTAAATTGAAGTTCTAGCATAATGACTGACCGTGTCTTCAGAGGTTCGTTGTTACGCTTTTAAAACCTCATTCTTAAAAACAAATATATTTTTTTAAACGTGTTTATCAGGCTGATTAGATGTAAAATGTGAAGTACTAGACCGACAGGGTTTTAATAGCTGCACTGGTTTATATCCGCATGCATTTGTTCGAAGTTGGTGTTTCTAATATTAGGTCGAGTTCTACAACGACTACAGGCCTGCTTCTCTACATCTGCAGTCGGTTTTGGGCGAGTAACTCCTCACTAACTCTAATAATATAGTATGCGATTAAACTTGTAGTATGATACAGCCACAAGGTGGTGCTGAGCATCTTTCCAGTGAAAAGCTAGGATCTGGGTCTTTATTAGAGCAAGTAGATTGAAAGTGTTTTATTCAGTGATTCACTTTTTATTATTGTACTATGGAAATATGGCTGTTTTGAGAGAGAGAGAGAGAGAGAGATGAACGCTAAGTGTGTGAATGACCTGCATCTGTGCATCTCTCTCTCCACAAACAAAGAAGCTGTGAGTTTAGTTTCCTTTCATTTGACTTGCTCACTGCTGAGAAATATAATGCAGTGATTCAGTATGGAAGCTATTTTATTAAGTGCAGAAATCAAACAATACAAGTATCAAGTTTCTTCTGATATTCTCATTACAAATGTGTGCAATCACAACAGAGTAACTCAGTGGCTGTTTGTGCTAGATGTATCACATTTTGATACGTGGCAGCCACATTTGTCTACTACAATTAGAACTCGCTTGGATGTGCACTGCATAATCACAGATTATGCGAGTTAATGTCAAATACAAAGAGTTCTGTTGTTACAATCTACCGGGATGAGTTGTAACAATTGTTGAAATAACATCCACACTATCTAATTTTTGCATAAACATAATTGAAGAGCAAAGACAAAAAACAATTTTGAACATGAACCATTTAAACCAACAACAAAAAAAAATTGTTCATTATATTGTATTTTTTTTAGAACTTGTAGCACAAAACAGTTGCCGTGCGTGTGTGTGTCTGTGTCTCTGTGTCTTTCTGTGTGTGTGTGTCTGTGTGCGTGTCTGTCTCTGTGTGTGTGTGAGTGAGTGCGTGTGTCTGGCTCTGTGTCTGTGTGCGTGTGTGTGTCTGTCTGTCTGTGTGTGTGTGTGTGCGTGTGTCTGTC